CTAGATTATGAAATATATAGGTGCCTGTATGATTTTATTATTATTATTGTTAACACATTTGATTGTTGTCTACTGATTCAAGTTTAATTTTGTTATTTAAAATAGTATCACATATACATGCTGAATAATTTTAATATGGAGTTGTAGACGTATGGCTTTTGGCGCTCCATAATACACGAATTTCGTCGACTGGAGGCAACAGTTGACTCCATATTAGAAAAGCTTATTTGGTAGAACGGACAGCGATACAGTTTTAGTAACAAGGTGATGTTTCGAGTATAGTTTATTGCTCATAATCATATCAATGTACTCATATGGACTTCTAAAGTTGCTTTATATAAATCTTTATTCCCTTCTTCTTTTGAATTTAATTTCTCATGTATCCAGAACTCGTGTTAAATCATTTCTGTTCCATGTACTAGTTTCAAATTCGATGAAAGAAGATTCAATGAGAGTGACGCAACACGAGTTCTGGATACATGAGAAATTAAATTCAAAAGAGGGAGGGTATAAAGACTTATATAAAGCAACTTTAGAAATCCATATGAGTAAACTGATGTGATTATGATTACAACAGTGCTCAAATTCCACTCTTACATTAAGTATATGACTCTGCTGACCAAACATATCCCAGTAGTGATTCTTATGAAAAGCCATGTCTAGCAAATACATGTCCCTATTGAAGTGTTTCAACTTGGACACTTATAGTCAAATTAATATACAGTGGGGCATTTCATAATGTTTCCATACAGAGAAATACGTGTCAGAGATACTAATTTCAGCACATAATCAGCTACACACTGGATTTACGTACAGAGTTCTTTGAATCAAGAAAGCGTTTATGATTTTGTCAACCGATGGTAAGGCCATAGCAATAAATCGTCCCTGCCACATACTAGAATAAAAAATATTGCCCTTTTGTATATAATTTCATATAGATAGAGTCATTTCTAAAGTATTTATATCAACACGATTTGTGTTTTTTTATACAAAGTACTTTCTGCTTTCCAGAATTCTATTATATTTATATTCATTTTGAATCATTAGCTGAGGGAATAGATTGAAACTTTTACAGAAATCCGTGGTATCTTTCCACTAATAATTAACCAATGTTATATGGCTATTGACTGAATAATGCCATGATTTCAAACGCCTAAATAAATGTTAGCTGTCTTAGCATGGGTAAGAGGATACTTTTAGTTTCTGAAAACATTATGCATATTTTTCCTGTTAGGGGAGGATGCTGACAAAATGCAGAGTCTTCTGAACACCTTGAGCAGCAATCTTCGTATGTTTGGCATGCGATTCGCCCCTCCAAAATGTAAGATGCTGCTACAGGACTGGACTACGTCAACTCCTAGCTTAGTGATAGGGAGTGAAGTGGTAGAACATGTTGACCACTTCACCTATTTGGGAAGTTGTATCACCACCACCAACGGACTGATACGCGACGAAATCTCAGCAAGGATCCAAAAAGCTCGAGCTGCCTTCTGGCGTAGGCGTGACATCCGGCTATCAACCAAGGGACGTGTGTGCTGCTCAGCAGTTCGCTCGGTCCTTCTCTATGGCTCTGAAACATGGCCAGTACGAGTTGAAGACATGAAAAGGTTGACTGTTTTTGATCATAGATGTCTACGATCTCTTTCTCATGTTAGGTGGTTTAATAAGGTAAGTAATGTTGACGTTAAGCGTAGAGTGTTGGGCAAAGAGGGAGAATCAATCGACGAGGCTATAAAGTTACACGGATTGAGATGGCTAGGTCACGTGCTGCGCATGCCTAACCATCGCCTCCCCCGACGACGGGCATTACTAGCTGATATAGGTGCAGGTTGGAAAAGAGTAAGTGGTGGCCAAACAAAAACATGGCCTCATCAATCCATGAAATCCTTGACAGTTAAACTGAGTCGGTCAGGTAGGGAGATGCAGACTTCCGGGTTGGGGCCCTCGGGACTCTAGGAATCAATGGCTGGAGACAATAGGTGACATGGCTCAAAGTGATCGTTGTCAATGGCCAGCGCAGATGTATTCAGTCTCTGTAATCTTTCATATTCCTTTCTACCATTACCCATTCTGTTTCACTCTTATACTTGTCAAACTCTATTAATTCTCTTCACTCATCTCCTTGTCTACCTCTGTGGGCTATTTGGAAGGTGGCAACTGGAACTGCTGCACTTCGGTGCCAAGTTCTATGTTGAATCCAGGCAGAGACAGACATACCATATATTTGATTCACTTTAACTGATCTTGAGACTTAAAAATGCTATTCAGACATTTCACACCTGTATGAATCAGGTTATCTAAGTTTTTAGTTTGCCTTTATGTGACACTTTACTTCATCGTTCTACAATAGTATAAAGTGGTAAACAATCTAAATAAATACACTTTCGAATCTCCACCAACAAATTCTGACCCCTAAAGTATAAAATCAATGTACTTACAAATCATACATCATAGAAGAATACGACTTCATTTATCATTAAATTTTATGCTAGAACTTCCCTAATACTTGAATATGCCGTAAGAAGTGTTTGACATACATGAATGCTGTCTGCTGTATAGTATGCAAAATGAAACTCTTGAGAATCAGGTTTAAATAATAATGAATATGATAGCCTCCAAGGTTGAAAATGCAACTATTATAACACTAAACTGTCGCTGCACATTAAGGAAATCGAATGTAGTTGTGTACCGATATTATTATCATTATTATTAAACTACACACAGAAAGCTTTTCCAGATGCAATTTTGTCCACCGTCTTCTAATCCAGTACAAATCTTTTGGATTTTATTTATTTATTATTTAAACGCATAAAAACTTGGTACAATATGACACCAAGTAGGATGCACCACACAATAATAATAATACAACATAGATCAAAAGAAAAAAAGAAAGAAGAGAAAAAAACATGTAAGTAGAGAACGGATAAAGAACTTCATCTGGAAGGAAAACAGTCATGCTTGATAAGTTCAAACAGTATTCGTTAACTATCATCGGTAAGGGAAGAAAGAAGGAAATTGCGACATGTGTAATAGCACGCAATAAGTTTCCTTGATTGTTTGTTGCTTCATTCAATTCATTGTGTGAGGGCTGAGATACTACCCGGGCGCCCAGACCGAAGCAGGTGGTTTTATTAAGGGACCAACCCCGAGCCTTTGACTTGGAGTCTAATCCGCATGGCAGCTGAGCAGCGACAGGAGCTGCATTCTCATGGTTCCCAGTGACCCATATGGGTTCATACGCCATTTGATCCGATTGGATACTGGAGCCCATTTACCCCATGGTAACTGCTTTTAGTTTAACCTCTATCCAAACAACCTTTCTGACATGGTAGGACTTGCAGGCACAGAGTCCCAGTCAGTTTAGCATGTTAGGTCATTATGGTTTTCAAGCCCGACCACCACGACAAGGTAGCAGTTATCGGCCGGGGCCTACATACAACAACCATCAGGTGTTCATGTTACCAGTGAATCAATGTGGAGGCTAGACACAGAGTTTTATACTAGATAAGTCAGATCTTAATTTTAAAGAATCTCATCAATTGATGCAGTTGGAATGTGTTTTATGCATTTTCACCGATTGTCTATATCAATAACAGATTAAATTAAAGCGATACATTAGAATACGAAACGATACACATCGTAATAATCTATGAATTTAAAAACTGCTAGTAAACTCTGTGTACAAAAACTGTCAATATCATCTGACACATCAATACTTTACCATAATTGTACTGTCGAATTTACGTACATGAATCATCTTTCTTTTTTATTCATTTGAGGTTGTTTCACAACTTCTAATGATTTCCTTCTCACCAGCTGTACTCCTTTATTGCCTTTTATTTGATTTATAAAACATAAGATGTGATAACTCGGGATACTACACACTCATCCTAGGTACATCATCGATAGTACTCCCTTCTGTTGACTAACAAATAAGCTTGATTAAACTGCAGTATATGCTACTAATAAGAACTTGTAAGTAGTGTCTTGCGTGTGATGTCATTTGCACATGATCCTTGAATAACGAAGAGACTTATGAAGTCATCAAAAGGAGGAATGTAAGATCTTCGTGAAATCATATAGAAAGTATGAAAGGAAGAAAAAATAAGTAGAATACGGACAACTTTTGAAAATGGAAATTTCAATACAAGGATTCTGTATTTTGCCTACTGATAAGATTTGTCAGTAGTATATACATACACAGATGTTCGTCAACAAATAGTAGGGAGATTGATTCAATGTCGGAGAAAGCAAATGATACAGAGTTGTGGAGATGCATGGGAGATGTGAAATGAACACAAAGAAACACCCAAAACATGAAGGCGAGAAGTAGCACTACACGGAAGATCTGTGGAAGTGGTGCGTTGAAGATAAGGTGTACATAATTTGGCGATATAGAGATACCGAATCGCAAATAAACATTCTTATACCATGTCTCTCGTCTTCTACCTTTACACTCCCACCAAATATCACCATGTTCTGTTGCTACGATACTACTGGTGACTATACCCAGGAAACAGTTCTTTATTTTATTTATAAACACGTACATTTATCATGTCAGTGTTTCTTTAATAAAACAAGGTTGTGAAGTTGTAGTTTGTGGATAAATGGCTGAAATCTGTATATCACACTAGTTTATCTTAACGATTTTATCCCGAACACAGGACAGTATCCATTTTCTATATGGTAAGACTTTTTATCAAGTTAATTTCGGAGGTTGTCACAGCATACAATAAAGTCTGTCTTTCAATATTTAGGGAACAGGACAATCAGGGCAACATAGTTTATTTTTATTTTTTATTATAGCTTGATTCCACACCGTACTTTTGGTACAGGTATGGAATTTTCAGCATGTGATATCGGTAGTCCAAATTTCGCAGGTCGACCAAATGTATCAGGTGTGTGTCGGCAGGGGATCGAACCCCGGACTATGTGTATGATCGGCGGGAGTCTTAACCGCTGTGCCACCGACAATATATCTAAGGAAAATCAAAACTCACCTTCTGCAAAAGTAACGGTAGCAGTCGATCCCAACGCTGCTTTGGTTTTTGATACAGGATGTTGGACAAGATTTGGTGCATTAATATAAGCTGGTAAATTTTGTGATGTTGAAGAAACTACAACCTGATTGGTTGAAGTAAATACAGATGATTGTCTTTGTCCACATTCATTATTATCACTTAACTTAGTATTCTGTACAGAATTACGAAATGATGGAGTTACAGTTGGCTGAGGCAGAGGAGCATGGGAATGAACAAAACCAGATTGATGCGTCAAACCGCCAACTGATGCCGGTGATTCACCTCGACTCCCGCGTAAAATAATGCCTTGCCTAAGTAGTACACCGGAATCTAGACACTGTGAGCCAACGGCATAATTCCCTTCACTTATAGATTTATCACCACCAACTCTTTCCATATCATACTCCGAATCATCATCTTTGTACTGTTCAATGTCTGCTTCACTAATTTCTTGATCATGTATACGTTTCCTTATCACTTCATTAATATCTTCACCTATACTTTCATCCTCATCCTCCTCTTCTTTTTCATAATCCCAAGCATGAGATGCAGGATGTTCTTTATCGCATGCAATTGAACTAATACTTTTAGTAGCTTTCAAATGAGGAGAGTTAGTTTTTGCCGCTGTTGTTGTTGTTGTCATCGCTGTTGAGGCTGTTATCGTTGAGGTTGAACTGACCGGTTGATTTTTAGAATGACTACTTTTTAACGGATTATGCACCATAACCATCCCGGCGGAGAAAGCTGCTAGTAAGGCCGACTGAAATGAATGAAAGTGTGAGAAGAGCGATTAAAGTAGACAAATAGATGTAACCAATAATTAGCTATGCTTCATAAAAATAAAATACTAAACATACTAGTAGTACTCGGGTATTTAGTCTACAATGTTACAATGGAAGAAAACAGTTTCAAGAAGATACTGGAGAAATCGCCACGTTCTCAAACAGAAAGGATAACTTATTATTTTATTCAGTGGGACATAAGGCTTCAAGCTAGAGCTTTGAAGTCTCAGTAGCTGCGGTGTTTTTTTTCTACGGCATGGTAAAGGTAAACGGGGTAAAGAAGTACGTCGGCAAGGGATTGAACACCGGACCACTTGTTTGGTTGGTCAGTGTTCAACCACTGAACCACCAATGCACATACAGAAAGTATGGTCTTGATGAGGCAGTAAATAAACTGATATTTCTTCAGTAAAATTCATGTCAATAAATAACATTATTGGTTACAGGATTTCATCATGAGCTGACATCAGTCAGAGAATCATTGGAAAACCTGGGAGTACTAGACAGCTGTTTCATCCTAATTTGGCACTCTTCATCAGTACGCACCCACCGGGATTTGAATCCAGGACGTTCTGGTTACAAGGTTAGAATCCCGGTGAGTGCGTACTGCTGGAGAGTCCCAAACTAGGATGAAACAGCTGTCCAGTACTCCCAGGTTTTCCAATGGTTCTCTAACCAATGTCAGCTCATGATGAAATCCTGTAACCAATCAGCCAAATCCCTACAAACCAATACTTAAATAACATTATCTTGAATGATTGATTAATTGTAGTGGAAATATGCCATGGTTAACTTATTCTTCTAGTTGATCAAGCACTACGATGTTTGATAAGTATTTCTTATCGGTTGTAGTGATGCTACTATAACATCTAAAAAAAGACTCAAATAACTTGTTACTTGTTGGTTGAGTTCAGTCACGAAAGTCATTGAATTTATGAATACACTATCTGAAATAGCTATGAATGTTAAACTGACATTAATATATACGAGCATTCATTCGTTGATGTGAAAAGAAATTAATTCTATCATAGATTAAATTTATTTTGATAAAGTTTCACAGTGTTATACGGTGTTATTTACTAATGACATTTCGAGCACAATTAATTACTCATAAGCACATCAAGGTACTCACTCAAACAACTTGCCAACTTCATTTATATACAATGGTTCTCTCATATAGAGGAGTTCGCCATAGAATATGTCCTAAACTAATGACAACAATTTAGAATTTAAGCTAGTGGTGAGTTCTTTTTTTAGAAAAAAGACTATTCACTACCACTGCTGAACAATAACTGATACCTTCCTCTCATACGCCAAACCGAAAACTGCTACCTTGGCGTGGTGGTCGGGCTTGAACACCGCAATTACCTAATCAAGCTATACTGGCTGAGACTTATATCTCTTGAGGTCCTACCATGCCAGAAAGGTTGTTTGGATAGCGGTTAAACAAAAAGCAGCTACCCAATCCAACACTATGATTCAAACAAATTCACAAAATATCATGCCGGATCCATCGGGGCCTGGATTAACAACAACCGCGCTTCCTGCTGCCATGTCACAGGGCAGGAGTGATAAATATGCTACTGAGACAAACCAAACAATAAAGAACGAACAAAAACAGGCCGCGTGTGACCGGCCTCAAGCAGTTGTCCCCTGGGCTCTGCGGTCACGCAACCAACTTCCACGGTGTAGGCAGCCGGGAAGTAACAATCGCCCTTACAATCCAATCCTCTCCTACGTCAATCCACATTGTTTCCTATTCGTAAGTCTTAAGTTTTTTACTGCATACTAAAGAATTAGGACTAGAAATCGTCTGTTTCACATTCTCTGCATATAAAAGTGTCCTTGTGCTCCCAATGTACATGTAAATTGTTAAGATCAAATAGAGGTACGGACAGCCCACATCTCATTAACTAGTATTTTAAGTAAAATAATAATGCCAAGCACTGATAACATCACTTAAAATTCAACTTTTTTTATCCTCTCTGTTGAGTGGTTACACCCAAAAATCAAGTGATTGATTAAAAAATTGATTCGTTATCTCAAATGTCCTATGAGTGTTATCTTTCTTTTAGTTCTATACAGTATTTTATGATAAATGTCGAAATAACTGTTGTGTAAAAAAGAGACTACTTGACCAAGTGCGCCTATTTTAATTTGTGACGGTCTACCTACCTATATCAGAAGAAGTTCGATTTGATACCAAATTGTGAACATAGAAAAAGCTGGTTAAACTCAAGCTTGTCGCATCACATCAATAATAATAGTTGAACATAGCAAAGTGGTTAGAGGTTTTCAGGAGATAGCATCATAATGTGAAAAGAGATAAAAAAGAAGTTTGGCATTCAAAAACAGTGTTATCAATCATTTAAGATAAAACTGTCAGAAAAAAGGACTGAATGATGATTCAATAAACTGACGTAGAAAGGTTGATACCCCGGTTTTATTTAGATTAAAACCAACAAACCACTGAGATCAATATTACACCCATGGAGAACACTGAATGACAGAATTTGGTTTAATTATTAGCTGAAATGCTGGAAACCGTGTATGACGTGAAGAATACTCTTCAGTTCATCAAGAAACCAGTAAACTTGAATCCTTTAAACATCTGGTACAATTGTCAGGTATTTGGAAAATCACTTTAAACTGTTTCAACTTGATTTGAGAATAGCAGTCATTAATTTTTTATCAGAAAAATATGTTTGTTACCTAGAATAGGAGATCTTCAGAAAACCAACACTCGTGATGAGGGCATACAATCGCCAGGATTGAATTAGTTTACAGTTTTGATCATTCTGAATAGTGCTAAGCCACTATAGGTTATAGATTTCATCCCTACAGGAGACTATTTAATTAAGTCATAGTAAAAATGAAGCACTACATAGACATTTCACATCAAGCAGGAGACAACAGTAAAGACTTTTTTCCTTTACGTTCCCAGTGGAACATGGGGCTTCAAGCTAGAGGCTTGAAGTTTCTGTAGGAGTGTTTAATTTTACAGGATGGGGTTGCTAGTCTCATGCCCAACCTTTCCTCTTTACAAACCTTATTTCTGATTTAGCGAGGTTTGGGAGTGAGTCGGCCGGGGATCGAACCCCAGACCATGTGCCTGGTCGGCGAGCGTGCTAACCGCTGTGCTACCGACACACAATAGTAAAGACTACAAAATAAAAATCAGGCAACTGTAAGCTGACAAAAGAAAACTTAAATGAAGAAGCGTAGTACTGAGACGAACGTGAAAACAGATTATGAGTACATTTGTATCACTGATATCAATTCTTACCTATATTCTCTAGAGTTCATAACTATACATCTCGACAGATATGTGAATCGCCTACATGAGTCAAGCCAGTAGTCAGTATCTTCATAGATTAACAAAAATCCTTCGCCTGATAAACCACAGCTTCTGTCAAACATATTTCTACATCTGCTGATGTATCCATCTAGAACAAGTGGTATGGAATTATTCAACTTTCATAAAGCTTATGGAAATTTCTAAGGAACTCATATAGGCGTTTCAGCTAACTAGCAAAATAGATAAATATTTAGGGTCTTTACAGATTTGTTTACCTTCAATGGTCATATTTAGAAGTTATAATATAGAGGTAAAAGGTATAGTCGTGCAATACACTGGACCTTAGAGATTAGTACTATAACTAATGTACACTATGGTGGTGAAAGCTGAATGAGTTAAGACATAATCAGCTACCAACCTATCAGGATAAAAGAAGTTTCTTAGGTAAAGTGGTTGACAAGTTTAATCAACTGACTTTCTATAGTCATACTAGGTATCCTCGCAGACTAGTTTTTTAAACAAACGTTTACGTTTGAGAGGTGATGAACACATTCCAAACACTCAAGTTATTGTTTAAAATATATAGATGTTATATTTTGTCAGTATATCTGCTTAGCAAGGATATTTCATTATCATGGTCAACTTAAAAGATTCAAAAGGCGAAGGCCACGTGTATAAAATGAGATTAAGAGATACACATTCTAAGTGTATGCATAATAGAATCAAACATAAACTGAATAAGTTAAACTTTCTAAATATATTCAATGTAGACATCATAAGGGATATATCAACGTAAGCTTGAGTGAGACTGAGAACTTTCAAAAGTGTAAGCTTCATAAAAAATATGCACTTTAAGGGACTCCAGTAAAGAGAAAGATGCTGTTGTAAAACCTCTAGTTTGACATAAACAAAGGCTATCTTCATATAAATACAAAAGATTCACATTACTGACAGGTAACTCTATGATACTGGATAATGAAGAGTAAATATTCTGTCAGTGCACAAACACATAGATCTGAAGACTTTTATTTGTTATGCCTAGGAAACAGTTATGCGTTGTGTGATTACAGACACAAGAGTTTAAGAAACTATGTTGGTCAAGAGATGAAGATAGTTAACCAAAATGGCAGTATCAGTCACAATCAAGGAGAGAAATTTAAAGAAAGCTACCTCTTTCACGTATCCAAGCGGCGTCGTTTCAACTACAAGCAACACAAATGAGGGTGTTAAAGGTAAAACCGAAGAAGAGTGACAAACCTTTACTACTCTGAAATCAATTTGGAAATCCACTGCGTTCAGAATATAGGAACGAGATCTGAATTTTTTAATTAATGGAAAATTCCCATTGTACCATATCGAAAATCAAAACAAGTGATTCAGAGAAGAGACTCTTTTCAACGAATTTATTATCAAGATGTAACCTCGCCTAGACTACTAGCTCCCGAAGATAGGACTCCAGGTGAACATAGACAAGACGGAGGTTATGCAAATAACCAGACAACAACAACAGCAGCACCAACATCCAGCGCCAATCACCATCAAGGCGAGGGATTTGAAAGAGGTTACTTCATTCACTTATCTAGGGAGCACTGTCTCAACTACAGGCAGTCGGAACGGACGAGGAGGTCAAATCGAGCGAGAATCGGGGGGAAGGCGAGAAACACATTCATCAACCTGAAA